ATCACAGGGTTTGCATCATGCAAACCAATTCTACAAATTGACGGGACTTGGTTGTATGGGAAGTACAAAGGCACGCTTTTGATGGCAGTTGCACAAGATGGCAACAATAACATTTTCCCCGTTGCGTTTGCCCTTGTCGAGGGGGAGACCGGTGGTGCTTGGAGCTTTTTCCTGAAAAATCTTCGTACACACGTGGCTCCTCAACCAGATCTCTGTTTGATCTCGGACAGACATGCCTCCATTGAAAGTGCCTATAATAATCCGGCAAATGGTTGGCATGACCCTCCTTCTATGCATGTCTATTGCGTCAGGCATATCGTCCAGAATTTCTCGAGGGAGGTCAAGGACAAAACATTGAGGAAAGCGGTGATGAATGCGGGATACGCACTGACACAGCCCACATTCAAATATTACCGCAACGAGATCCGTTTGTCTAACCCAGAAGCCGGTACGTGGATCGACAATATACCGGTCGAAAAGTGGACTAGGTCATACGACAATGGCCAAAGATGGGGGCATATGACAACAAATCTTATTGAATCAATGAATGGGGTATTCAAGGGCATACGAAACCTCCCCATCACTGCCTTGGTGAAATCCACGTATTTTAGGATGGCTGCGTTATTTGCCAAAAGAGGTGAAATGTGGTATGCGGTCTTGCAATTAGGACAACTATGGAGTGAAAGCTGTATGAAATACATTAAGGCTGAAAGTGCTAAAGCCAACACTCACATGGTTACACGGTTTGACCGCCATAGCCACAACTTCATTGTGAAAGAGACAATTGACCACAATGAAGGCCTGGCAAGACAAGAATACAGGGTCATTTTACCTTCTCAATGGTGCGATTGTGGCAGGTTTCAAGCTTTTCGTATGCCTTACTCTCATGTCATTGCCGCTTGTGCTCATACCCATCAAGACGCGCTTCAACTGCTCTCAAACGTTTATAAATCTGAAATGTTGCTCACTGTTTACAACAACAACTTTCCTTTGGTGGCAAAACCGAACTATTGGCCTGAATACAACGGTGATATAGTTTGGCACAATGACCAAATGCGAAGGAACAAGAAGGGTCGTCCCAAAAGCAGGCGCATCACAACAGAAATGGACGATCTTGACAGGTTGGAAAGAAAGTGTGGTTTATGCCGTCAGGTCGGACACAATCGCAAAAACTGTCCGAATCGGGCGTCTGGCTCGACCACATAAATTTTGTAATACAATAAATCTTTTCAATATTTGTGTTGTAAACATTATGGGTTTTCCGTTAATAAAACTGTTAACACAATTTAAGAAATTCAATATAGGAAATTACATTAGGGTTTTCGCGTACAACAATGATTAACGATATTCAATCTAGGAAATTACAACTGTTAACACAATTTCATCTGACCCATGCATCATCAGCATTACATCACTGTCTGTTTTGACTTCCTCCAACCACACATTAGGTCTTCCTGTCGCATGTGAGGTTGTTGTTCGTTTTCGCTGGATCCTTCGAATTTTTTCCCCCTCGGCGATGTCTCCATCTAGCCACCGCATCAACTCCCGCTTCAGACGCTCCATGGAGTGAATGTGCCAGAATTTCATTTTCATCGCAGGTTTCGTGGCGGAGAATATAACGTAACCATCTCTGCTAAAAATCATAGGCGACGTCATTACGTAAATAAGGGAGTACAAAATAAAAATACAGTGCGAGAAAGTGTGAGAAATTTCAAAGAAACGGACGAATTATTTATAAAACAGCAAAAAAAACCCTAGTTTTGCCCTAGGCGCCAAGTGAGATGGCGCCTCCTCTCATTTTTAAGGAGCATGCGCCATCTCACTTGGCTAAAAGACAAGGGAGGCGCCAAGTGAGATGGCGCCTAGGGCAAAACCCTAGGTGCATGCGCCAATTGAGATGGCTCCTCCTTTGTGGAGCCATCTGAAACATGGTTATTTGCGTAATTTTTTCCGAAACCCGGTTATTTGCGAAATATTAATTTAATACATGGTTATTAATAAAAAAAATTCCAATCTTTGTAACAGCACCAAATATATCAATGGTTGTCACACAAGGTTAATCTACAAAAAAAGTATGTTACATCATTGATAAAGTTTATTGCTTACCAGTATCACTGCTCGAGTCTTTTTCTGGTCATGTGTATTTTCAGAGATACATCTTCGAATTAACCTAAAAAAATTCAGATATGCATCTCTGAACTAAATTTTGGCAAAAAAATATGATTTAGTCCAGGGGCCTGAGAGAAGGTGATATGGTGCAAAGAGAAATTCTCATAAAAAGATCCTATTGTAGCGTTGCACGCCTGACTCTTTCTTGGTTTAGTCATAACTATTAGGTAAAGGAAAAATCCTTAACCATGACCCAAAAGACATATGTGGCTCTTCAATCTCTTTGTGGACTTCCACTCTACTATCCCCTAATTATCACAATATTTTAGTTAGATGTTCAATCCTTCCACGTAGAAAAAACCCTTGGTAGTCTTTTGTGCTTGAATAAAACCCTTAACCTTTTGCCTTGATATCAACCTACGATGATGCACTTTAGGGGCTTTTAAAGGTCTACCTTCACCTTGTTTCTTAGGAATTCTCCATTCTACTTGTCTCTTATTGATCAATTTCATCCTAGATTCCAATAGTGCTAGGGGTTACAAACGGGAATTTCCTTCCAGTTTAGACTCGTCCCACAAAAGCCTGTAAAAATATAAGATGGCATACATATTTGGGAGTGTGAGTCTAAAACTTTGATCCGCCCCGCACTAAAAGAGGACGGAGAAGGACAGATCCGCAGACACTGCACCTTTTAAGCATATAAATATAAAATTTATGTTAACATTCATGCACACACAAAAATGGGGCGGACAAAAAGGGAAAAAAACCCTAAGGGCCGAGCCTGTTTTGTCACCCCTAAATATACTACCATAGCTTTAAATCGTAATTTTAGTGTCAAATCATACGCCATAATCCAAAAAACTCCAAAGTGCTTTTCTAGCACAAGAGATTGTTCCTCTTCTGATACCCTCTGAAGAATAAGAAGATTCCTGTCAAAACTCCAAGGCCCTTATTTTCATATTGTATTTGCATCTTTTTTTGAGGAATCGAAATAGGGAAAAAGTTAATTTCCATGGTTTTGGGCGTTTACTGGGTGTTTGAGTCGTGCTTAAATCATAGTGCTCTTAAAGACTCAGAGTATTAAATGAGTTATCTTCCTAGAGTTTTCTAATCAAGGTTCTCTCGAAGACCTTGTCACCAATCTCAACTTGAAACAAACATTTTTCAATTTTCCATCCCTTGTTATTTATGAAGCTCCGACACGCCAATTAGAAGGTGTGTCCCTGCACCAGACATATATCAGACACTGACACACATATAATATATGTACGACACGTATCAGACACGTTTTTGAAGTGTCCAATAAAAAAATTGAAACACAACGGACACAGTTACAACACACTATTTCAAATAACAGACACGTCAACCTCTTAAATTCTCAAAATTAATATTTTTACATTTCATATTACACTTTTCCACTATAAAAACAACTAGTATTCCTTGTTTTTTCATCTCCTCTTTTTGTTTTCATCATCTTTCTTTGTTTTCATCTTTGTCGCACGCTGGTATTCTATCGTCGCCACTGCCAGTATTTCACTCTTTCTCTTTTGATACTCATTCCTTTTTTTTCTTTATTATTTGTCTCTGTTTTATGTTGTTAATTACATACGTCGGTGACGACGCTTCACTCGTGTTATTATTTGTAAACTATCTCTGTTTTTTGTTTATGTTTCATGTTAATTACAGAAATTGACATATGTTTTTTGTAATTAGATATGTCATATGTTATTTGTCTTTGTTTCACTCATGTTATAGTTATATGTTAATTACATATAAAATATAACTTGTCTTTGGAAGAGGCAGATTTAGAGACATGTTTTCTCAATGTGGAATGATTAAGATATGATTTGTATGAAAAATACTAAGTTTAAATAAATAGAAAATTTTAGTTCTTATTTTAGACTCTTCATAAATTGTGCTCATAAATTATATTATTTTATTAATATATAAAAAATATATAAATGTGTCTGTGTCCTATATTTTTTACAATAACAATGTCCTCGAATCCGTGTATGTATTCAAAATCAGACTACATAGTTTGTTATTCAATCAACGACTTAAAAATAGAAAACAAGAGCACCAAATCATCGAAACTAAAGATGCATGATAAAATCCACACAAGTTGAGAGAACAACCATATGAAACTATGGTCAGAAAATACAATAAGAACTACGCGTAGAAATTTAGAGTAAAAATCTTGTCATACATACCAAGTATATACATCTAACAAAATTAATTAGACTCTCGTAACTTAATAAATTAAAAATTGAATTTAATCTAAAAAATATTTAAAATTTCTGTCCAATATATTTTGAACAGGGTCACATTATATAAAAAATTTATGGAAAAGAAACATGTCTAAAGAAAATGCCAAACAATCCCATGTACGTTAATATAATTTAGGTGGATTTTTGTTTTTACTAAAGAACTAAAATAAAATATAATAATTGTATAATACACCAACAAGCTGGAATAGCTCAGTTGGTTAGAGCGTGTGGCTGTTAACCACAAGGTCGGAGGTTCAACCCCTCCTTCTAGCGTTTTCGTATTTTTTATTTCATTTTTTTACAACATGATCACACAAGTATCATTGTAGCCTATTTGCTTATAATCAACGTTTTAGAAACCAAACCTTAATTGTGTGATTCTGTTTTTAAGATATTGCTTGAAACATCACAACCTTGGTTAAATTAATATAGATTTTGAATGTAAAACACAGATAAAAATAAATGCCAAATCATTAATTTCTATGTTCTCAGAATAAGCAAATAACTAAACCTTCTATAAGTACTTTCACCCTACAATAATTCTAAACTCAGCACCAACATAAGCACCAGTGCATCACAACTGCTAGAGAACTAACTAAGTGCTCTACGACGAGAAGAGATATTTTATTGGTTGCTATTACCACCTGTCCATTCATTCCAGTCTTTGTCGACATTAGCATGAGCCCAGTTGACAGCACTACGCGCAGCTTGCGGTCCTCCAGGCAACCCCCGTTCGGTCACTATATCAGCCATGTCAATGAAAGGATCAACCAAGAGTGTACCAGGACCTCCATACTCAGAATGCAAGAAGGTTCTGAAAATCTGTTCAATACAATCAGTCACATAATTCAAAGGAAACAAGGTAAGTATGAACTTCAACTCATAAATCAATGGAAGCTCGAGAAATAGTATGGTATACAAACAAAATCCACACAGAAGAAACTACTTGAATCATAAACAGTCATTTTATGCCAACCAAAGGTAGTGGAGAGGGGCTGTATATAGATTGCATTTGATACGATGTTCAACACAATCATAGTTGAAAGCAGTGTTGTTAATCAGAGATTGCGCAAGATACAATTTGTTCATATTCTCCTACACTGCGTTATCCCTTATTCTTCTTCATCCCTTATTTTATTTTTCTTAATTATAGAAAAACCCTCCTATTGGATTTGAAAGAATTTTACAATCAGATAAATGGCTATGTATAAACTAAGTCATTACTCAACTCAAGAAAGAGAAAAAACAGAAACAAACAACAAAACACAAATCTTGTAACCACAAAGAGATTCTTCAACATAAAAAAAAGACCCACCTCAGTGCAAACTCCAACAACTTCTTCAACTGATTCTTCAAAAACATCTTTCTTTGAAAGCTTATGAAGAAGGTGGCTTTTGAATTTTTCCGTCTCCTGAAACCCATAAAAAGATTATTCATTTAAATGAAATTATTTAATAGCAGATAAAAAAATTCAAACTTTGAAGAGAAAACTTACGGAATCTGCGAATTCAGGAATTGGGTCAGGGAATTTGTACTCAGCGGCTCTAGTAACGGGGCGTTTAGTGGAAGAAAAGGGTAAAGTTGCGAGCTTTCTATTCAGAGAGGGAAATGAGAAACGTTGTTTGCATTTGGTAGTGGTTTGGGATAAGCATAGCGAAGGAATTGAAGAAGAAGCAGAAGGAATGAGGAAGAGTGAAAGAGACGAAGTAGAAGCCATACTCTCTAAAAACAAAAACCAAGGTGATGTTCCTTTATCCAATGAGTTTATAAGTCTCAAACATGTGCTAAGTTGTCACTTGCTCGAAAAAGAATTAAAATACATATGTTTATCAAAGCTTAATACTATACATGTTTATGCTTTTTTTAAACTAACTTTTTTTTAATATGGAATCCCTAACTTTTGATTTTGTAGTTAGTCTCTTATTGTTAAATTTTTTTGTTAAAAAAAAATAGTGTGGTTAAAGTTGATGATGTGAAATTATTTTTTATTTTCTCTATTGATATTTTTTTATGACGTGGAAAGTATAATATAATGGTTTTAAAAAGGAGGATTAAATCTAAAATCAAAATGATATTTTAAATTGAAGTTCTTCTTCATCTGCTCAAATCCGTCTTGTTACAGATTGACGTCCATTTCTGCACTGTGAAGCATGATTAGTTCTCAGGTCAAAATTTTACTCTGTTTTAAATAATGGTGGTATTAATATTGAAGAAAAAGAAGATGATGATGTTGGAAATAATGTTGAAGAAGATGAACATGTGGATATTGACTTTGAAGTTTGTTAGTTTTTATTTCTAACCAACAAAAAATACTTTCTTAAACATTTCATTATTGGTATTAATTTTGGATTACATCCCTGATACTAATGTTAATTTGGCATTTAATCCCTAATATTGTTATGTATTTTTAAATTGATACATGTTTGTTTGTTTTGAATTTGATACTTATTTGTTTGTTTGAAATTAATTTGCATGGATTGATCCATGTGTTTGAAGAAATGTTTGAGAGGGTAAATCACACGTTATGTCTTAGACACTTATATGTCAATTTCAAAAAAAAATTAGAAAAGGCACACATATTAGAGATTTAATGATGGGAGCATCAAAGACAACATACATCCAACACAAACATTGCATTTGTACACATTAAACATCTTAGTAAACTTTCGTTATGGTTTAGTTATGATGTATTTTGAGACCATATTATGACTTTTGACTTTGTAGACATGAATCATCCTATTGATTTAGTGATGATATATTTTTGTTGTGATTTAAGATATAACACAAAATTATATTTTGAGACAAGTTCATATGCACTTTAGGCTATATATATTTTGATTATGTAATACATCATCAGTTTGTGCAAGTTCATATGCCCTTTATAGATTCAAGAACAATTGATTCAGATAAAGAATTACAAGCATGGTGGGAAAAGATTTAAAATGTTGAACATAGTGACTGAAAATAAAACGTAGTAACAAAAGTCCAGAATCATGGACTAAAACAAAAAAATAATTAGGGACTAAAACCAAAAACACGCTAACTTACAGAGACTAAAAGATTATTTAAGACTGTTTAAGCCAGAATTCTTAAGTGTTCATATCTTCACCTTCAACCTTCATACAAACTCAGAATTTTTTCAAACCCAAAACTTTTTGAAACCCAGAATTTAACAGAAGAACGACCATTTTGTCTCTACAAAACACATAAAATATTTTCTTCAAATAAATATTATCATGATCTTTGAAATGAGTTTGACCAGGAATTAACATAAAAGCTCTGAGTCTGCTTATGGAGCTCCTTGTATGATTGGGTTTGGTGAGAAGAGAAACATAAGTATGAAGAATGAGATAGAAAATGAAGGGAAAGGTGGTTGTTTTTTGAAATGGAGTTTACAAAACATAAGATGAAGATGAAGGTGAGAGAAAAAATATAGGTTGGAGATGGAAGTTGAAGGTGATAAAAAAATGGAGCTTGGAGATGGATTGAAGAAGAAGATGATGTTTTGTAAAAAGTTTTTTTTTTTTGAATTTCGTCCTCCTATGCCATTTCACTGGACGTTTGCCACCTCCTCTTTTTTTGTAACAGATTATTAATATTAGAGACTAAAATCAAATAAACTCAACATAAGGACCTCATAAAAAAGATTTAGGGACTAAATAAAAACAAATCAACTTATTAGAACAAAAAGACTATTTAAATCTTTATATAATTTTAGCTTAGACAAATGATAATTCAAATTGACATTTTATGTCAACGAACTACATAATTTAATCAAATCAATTATTATTCATCATAACCTATTATCTACATCACCTAATTGTTTAGGATTAAATGAATTTTGATCAAAATGATTTATTAGTCCTTTCATTTCTAAATTTCACTTTTTGCTCCCCATATTTAACAAGTCTTTTAATTTTTTTTAGTCTCCTTAACTTTAAATTTTGTTGCTTATGTTGTGTTTTTTTAGATTGGTGTGTTAAGTAGTGTTGTTTTTGTTGTCATGTTTAGATGATGATAATATTATTTAGGTGATGTTTTTCATGTAAAATATTTTTAGTATTGATAAAAAGAAAGAAATTATGTGTAATATGTTATATAAAATGATATGTTTAATATTAAAATGCTTTATTCAATGTTAAAATTCTCAGTGATGTTATAAAATGTTTGATGTTATTGTTAAAATTATTTACTTAATGATGTTATAAAAATGTCAGGTTCAATGTTGAAATGCTCAATGATCTCGTTAAATTTCACAATTGCAACATGTTATAAAAAAAATAATAGTTTAAATGTATTTTTGGTTCTTCTATTTTTACATTTTTTAAGTTTTAGTCCTCCTATTTTAAAAGCCAATTTTTGATCTCTAAACTTTAACTCACTCGGGATTTCATTAGTCCCTCTCTAGTTTTACATATGTGGCGCCTTTATTAATGACATGACATTGCTACAGTAACTCCACATTAAATAAACACACATTGTAGGGAGTTACTGCAGCAGTGACATGTCATTAATAAGAGCGCTACATATGCAAAATTATAGAGGACTAACAAAATTTCGAGTGAGGTAAAATTTAGAGATCAAAAAGTTAGCTTTTAAAATGGAGGGACTAAAACTTAAAAAGCTTGAAAATAGGGAGACCAAAAGTGATTTAAGCCAAAAATAATTAAAAGTTCAATGATAATTATTGTGTAAAATAATTTGTTCAATATGAAAATTTCGATAGTATAATTTGAGATGCCATTACAAAGTAACTCAATATATGAACTTTCATTGTTATTGTCATTGTTGCCAACTGTGATCGGTGGATCTGGAACTGACTGTTTTAAAGCTGGTTCGCGAAATGTCGCGGTAAGCAAGAGTCGCCACCGTCTTTTATTTTCTCCAATAGGAAAGGACAAAAGCACAGAAAAATTCCTTAAAGAGATTGCTCTCGGTTCGGGAGGTAGGTTATAGAAAGGGAAGGTGTTAGCACCCTTTCTATCCATGGTTATCCATGGGCTCTTAGGTACTTGCTCAATGTGTTTTCAAAATTGTTTGCTTGCTTTTCAATGTGGGTTTCAAAAATATTCTTTGAAAAGTTTCAGTTCAACTCGTACGTCAGAGTGTTTGAAAAGTTTGTTTTGAAAGTTTTTGAAAGTGTGTTGGTGTGAAAAGAGTTTTTTGTTTTGTTTGAAATTAGAGCAAGTACCCTTGAGAACCTACCTACCCTAAGGAATTCGTCTGTGTAAATGTCCTTTGAAGTAGTGCCATCCCACCATTGAGAGGTAGGTAGCACCACCGTTGGAGGTGTTCGGGTCAATTCGAGTTTTAGGGACGTGGTGGTCACCAGAGCAACAGTAGGACACCTTAGAAGCTACCCTTATGCCATTGATCCTTTATTTTCCGAGGCAACCGTTTCGAGGCAACTGGATCATGTCATGGACATAAGGACTTACTAAAACGTCCTATACTCGACGACCACCTTTCGAAAGGCAACAGTGAGGCGTACCCTAGGGGTGGTGTGTGCGAATTGTGTGTCATTTTCAGTTTATTGTTTGTCTTGTCATGCATTGGTGATCTAACGATTCGATTTTATTTTTGGGCATTCATTCTTTCATGTTATTGTTTAACAGTTAAATGTGCGGGAATTTAAAGTGCGGAAAAGATAAAAGTCCTACGCTATTACAAAGGCGAGGGTCTACAACGCCAAATTAATCCAGACCCGTTTTAAAATAAATTGCAGAAAAGAAATGTCTAATAGCTATTACACGGCTTTGATACATATACATAATTATTTACAAAAGAAATAAATGAAACGCGCGAAAAAAAGAAAATAATCAAATGCGAGGGCGTTGAACCCTTTAAAAGAATTAAAATAATTAAGTTATCTAAAATTAAAATTAAATGAAAAATGGTATTTTTGTGTTTTTTAGATTTAAAAGAAAAAAAAAAGAAAAGTTAATTAAAATTAAAATCCTAGTTCTAATGTCTTTTAAGTTTATTATGAAAATTTTAACTTTTAACCTAATCTAATTCTAAATTAATTTATGTACATTTTTTAATTTATGAAAATAATTAAATAATATTATTATTCTGAAATAAAAGGAAAATTAAAAAAGAAAATAAAAGTTATTAAACCTAAACTCTATTTTTTTGGATTTTTAGTTATTAAGAAAGTATTAAAATCTAACCTAAAATGCAACCCTAGTTTAATTATGAAAAATACTAATACTATGGCAAAAAACAAGGAAAGTTAAAAGGAAAAAGTCATTAACCTAATTCTATGTTTTTGTTTTGATTTTTATTAAAAGGAACTAAAGTTGAAAACCTAATTAAAACTAAATATTTACATGTTATTATTTATGAAAATAATTAAAATAAAAATTATATTTTTTATGGTCTTTTCTGATTTTTTGAATGTTTTTATATTTTTGTGAGAATAGTTAATTAAATAAAAGAAAAGAAATAAAAAGAAAAAATTAAAGAAAGAATGAAAAACAATAAGGCAAACCAAGGGGGGGTATCCCCAATTTGGAGGGTCCAGGCCTGGAATTTCTGGCCCATTAGCTTTGAAGTCCATTGACTTTTTGGCTCAGGTGTGATGCCTTTGACCAGGTGCAGCGTGTCTCTCAAATCTAAGCCTTTAGTTTGATCTCCAGGAAGATGTGTCAAGGCTTGGTCCTGGGTGTATGGTGTACCTGGAAGTTAGTGAAGCATAGAATTTTATGTAGAAAA